TTTAGTGAATTATATAAATATAGACAATGACGATTGGCGATATATACATCTGAAAATATATATTTTCTCAGTTGACCATTCTATTGAACATGTGTTTCTACCAATAGCTACTCGTGAAGATATTTTTAAATAGATTAAAAGATGTCTTTAAAGTTCTGATTGTACTGAAACAATAGGGTATTGTTAAGCGGCGGTGCACCGCCACCGCCCCGCCGTTTTAAATTCCCGTCCCGCCAGCGGGACGGGACGGGACGGGACGGTGTGGCACCGCGACTCGTCCATCTCTGACGCTGACATCAGTAGTACTAATAGTTTCCCTTAATTTTAAATTTGAAATGATATTTTAAAATATTCAAACTTTAAGCTTTTAGGTTTCAGAGATGTTTGATTTAAAATTCTACGACAATGGATATGTTTATTTATTCAATTGGCTTATGATATAGTGTACTTTTCTCACTTCAGAGCTTATTTAAAGAAAAAAATTTAGAAGGTTTTTTAATTAGTTTATTGTTTTTATCTGTTGCAGATAAGATTTTTATGAACTTTTATTCGCTTAAAATTTGGTGTTTTTCCCATGTCATCAAATAAACATTGTATTTATTAGTAGTTTTATATATCGAGTTCAACTTTTGTATAAATCATTTTCTGCTAACATGATCCAACAATCGTTGACTTATCCTATGCCGAAATTTCCTATTATTAATGCACAATTTTATACATCAACATAAAGCACGTTGATGCCATGTAAAGATCTTGTTTTTTAATTATTCCAGAAAAAATATTGTTACACTTATTCAAAAAATGTCCAGTATCACCAGCGGTATTACAACAGTAACCGGATCAATGCTTCGTTTAAATCATTATTTAACCAACAACAATATTTTAGGTTTTGCAGTGAAAAATAGTCGTGATCGGTTTTTGATTCCAAGCAATCAAAACTCATACAATGATATACAAATAGAATATATATTAATAGATAGTGGTTCCAATTCGTCATTATTCCCGTTACCAATGACTCCAGAAAAAACATTTGATATTTATCGTTTAATTCAAAATTTTCCCTTTGATCGTTACACTTGGACCATTGGAACTGCACATGGCATTGGTGTTATACATGATACTACTTTGAATATTAAACCACTTGAAGATAATGGTTCATCATCAAGTAAAATTAAATGTAGTTTACATTCTGATATTAATAAATTAGAATTTGAATTACCTCACATTAGATTTTCACTTGATAGAGAATCTTTGAAAGTTTTATTTGAAACAGATATTGTACCTTTTTCGGATCCCGATAAAGAAACAATTAAAAATACTTTAAAATTCTTGGACGATTTTATTAACTATTTTCCATTAATGATTAACAATAAAAAACGTGATTATTGTCTTTTGGGTCAACATTTTTTCCGAAATGTTGGTTCTATTCAATTAAATGAAGTAATAATATTTATTGATAAACAAAAATTACGGGAAAAATTATTTCCACCAATTAACAAAAGTGTTAATGAAATTATAAACTTCTTATTTTACCAACGGCCTACATTTGCTAAAACTGAACAATTTCTCTTTTGTGAGGACAATGAACATGGTGGAAAAGATTTGTTGAACATATCTAGTGAACAAATAGATGTTGATGAACATTAATGATTGTAATGGATATTTTAAACTGGTCTATCAATTTATGTACAATTATAGTACTTTGGTCTGCAATTCAAGTTGAAAGCTTGATTTTTTCCAGTTTTGATGTTATTTTGATCTTTGTCATTGTTTCTAAGCAACAAAATGTATCGATTTTACAGTGTGTCTATAATTACTTAGAGCTAGATGACCACAGATATGTTGTATTATGAATAACTTTTATTGCTTAGAAGAAATGATAAAGATTAAAATAACATCAATAGAGGAAAAAATCATGTTTTCGTCCTGAATTGTGGAGCAAAATACTATAATTGTACATAAATCAATAGATCAATGTAAAATATACATTACATTTAGTAATGTTATAGAAAAAGCTATTAAAGTTATTGGTTTTTTTTTAACAAAATCTTTTTTTTCTAAGATCATCTAAAAATTTAGTCTCAGTAAGTTCAAAAAACTGTTTATATGTGTCTTAAAAATACATTTTTCTTGTAAATAATGATCATTGGAAGATGTTATATTTGATGAAAAAAAACTGAGAATATATTAAAAAAAGAAGAAGAATATGATCTCCAGTTATTCATTTTGTCTTTCTGTTATTTTTCATTTCTCATTGAATGAAATCATAGAGTGAACTACTTGTGGAACTATCCATGAAATGATTTGTTCAGATGGCATTCTCTATCAATGTTCACACAGATAAACATTTATATAAGAAGATTTTCATTTGATCTTCTTTCTATGAGAATAAATTGATGAGTAACAATCATATCTAGACGATAGTTTACATGAAAATTCTCATTTATTGATCAATATTCGAGTTTAATGAAGAACAATAGAAAATTCTTCATAGTTGATTGAAATTATTCTTCAAAATATTCTATTGCAAAAACTTCTGTGAAGATAATGTTGAAGTTGTTTAGAAATGAAATTCTCTAGTTTATTGAATAAAATCATCAAATTCCAAAATAATCTTCACCTGCTTGCATTTGTTTTTGTTCATAGAAAGAACAAAACAATCTATCAAAATTCGTTTCTAGATTTAATCATTTGTCCAATGATTATTTTACGTGATGAAAATAAATATGAATATGAATATGAATATTTCAATCATCTCTTCATTAATACTCATAAGATATCTTCCAATAGATATTCGTTTCAAGTTAATCTTGACAAAGTTCATTGAATTGATTTCGTTTCAGATCAATAGAATTCTCTCTGAATACCTGATCATTTATATATTGATCAAATAGAAAAGATAGTGGATATTGGTCTAATCAGAATCATCGTTATTCATTTTTTTCAAATTGATTCTTTTATTTCAATTAGGGGTGTCGCATTAGCATTAGTATTAGCATTAATTAATCCTAATGCTAATACTTTTGCATTGGTATTAATCATGAATGCTAATGCCAAAGTATTAGTATGAACTGTTAATATTAATGCTTTGGCATTAATGGCATTAGAGTTAATTAATGTTCAGGTGTTAGCATTAATTTAGCATTATTTTTAATACTAATACATATACTTAGTGTCAGTTCTAGATTACTATTTTGATAAACTACCTTTGACTTTTTAAAGACAACCTGGAGGTAGTCTTTGTAACTTTTCAAGAGCTATCTGGGATTATCCTGGGTAACATTTCAACGGCTATTTGGGGATACTCTCGGTAACTTTTGAGAGGCTACCTAGGGGTATTCTGGGTAACTTTTCAAGGGTTCTCTAGGAGTACTCATGGTAACATTTTAAGGGCCACCTAGGGGTAACTTTGGTAACTTTTCAGGGGCTACCTAGGGTACCTTTGATAACTTGTCAAGGACTGCCTAGGGGTACCCATGGTAAGTTTTTAAGGGCTATCTGGGAGTATCCTTGGTAAGTTTCTAATACCAATGCAAAATTATTAGCATTAATTAATGCTAATACGGCACTCCTAATTTCAATTCAATGGAAATCATCTTTTTCAAAAAGAATATTTCAAATCTAACTAGTCAACACTAAATGAGAATTTGTTCTCATCTATAAAAAATATGATGAAGAAAACTACTTCTATATTTCTTAATCGAATCTCAATTCTTACAGATAATAATCGATATGTTTATGAAAAATTTTTATTATCAGAAAAGATTTTCTTAATGAATATTTTTTTCTAGATGGTCTTTTTCAGAAATGTTCATCTCGTCTCATATTTCACCAATTGAAAATCGTTTTATTTATCTGATTATTAAAGATTATTTCCATGAGAATATTTATTGAATATAGTTTGAATAAAATTGATAATTCCATTGAAGTCTCTTCTGATTTTTCAATTTACAATCTTATTTCATATCAAACTAATCAATAAAAATAACACAATCAAATCGAATGATCAATATTTTCATTGATATATTCTTGCTTCGTAATGGATACATAGAAAACTCCATTTTAGACAAACAAAATTAGTATTTAAGCAGATATTCAAATATTTACTTCGTCTCTTACTCTTGCTTTTTTTCAATCTTTTTTTTTTCAATTGAAGTATTTTGTCCAAAACTGACTGCGTGATTGTCTTTTGGAAGAAAAATTTGGAGAGTTCCAAGATCATTTCTAATTTATTGTGATATTCGATTGATCTTGATTTACTTTGTGGAACTGATTCAAATTTGTTCGAAATTATTTGTTAAGAATTATATTCAGAAAATAGTCGAAGAGAATCAAAGTCTTATCGGTAGAAACTAATGAATGTAGCTGAGAGAAGATTTTCAATGTTGCCACCTGATCGCTACAATCAACGTAAAAAAAGCAGAAAAGCAGAAAAACGGCATTGATTGTAGCGATCCAAGTGGCAACACTGGAAGATTCATTTCCTTATTAAGAGACGTTCCATGAAAAAACCAGAGATAGCGAAAACATGGGGGTCAACCCATTTCGGATTTGACCCCCTAGGAATTTCAGGCCTTATCTACCATAGATCAATACAAAATATTACGGTCTAAAGATTTACCTCTGCTTCACTAGGGCTGTTCGACTATAATGCGGTGCAAAGCACAGCATTTATGTAGCCTTTCGTGAGTTTTCTTTTTTGTGTACTCAAAAAGTGAGTACACTCTAGAATCGGTCAGTGTGTCCGTCCGTCCGGCCGGCCGGCCGTCCGTCCGGCCGTTTACACGATAACTTTTGAAAGAAGAGTCCAATCGCGATGAAATTTTCTACACAGTTCAGTTTTAACAATGTCTCGGCCGAGTTCGAAGATGAGCAGGATCTATCAAGAAATGGCTGAGTTATCGAAAAAATTGTCATTATTGAGAAGATCATCCCTGAGGGGGAGTACAGGGATTTTTCAAAAAAAATATTTTTCTCAAAATTCTTCAAAACATATATAAATCGACTCAGTTTTTAACGCTGATTCCGAATCTGATATTAGTTTTGAACCAAATTGTAGCCTTCTAACAGAACATCGCCTGAAAAAGGTCTCAAAATGCACAAAAACTGCATCCAGAAACCAAATTGCCTAGATGTGTCTNTAAAAAACTAGCGTTAGCGACGTGACTCAAAAAAGGACATCAACTTCCACTACAAGCATTTCAGTTTGAAAAATCTGCGAATCGAAACAGTATTTTCGAAAACTAAATAGTAAATGTTGCAGGCGACTCTTGAAGCTACAAAAATATCTACTCAATGTTTTTCCTGAATATGTTTAGATTTTTAACTAAATCGAGTTTATTTGGCGTTAGTGACGTGACGAATTCGTTAGCGACGTGACACAGTACGACTGCGCAACAGAGAAGATGCTCTTGTAGTTGATTGAAAAGTTTGAAATCGACTTCAAACGTTACAAATTATTAGTGTAAATGTCCCGTTTTGCCTGATTTAGCCGATATATATAGTAAAAACAATCTAAATATATCATTATTATTAAATAAACTTCAAAATATAATAAAATCATATTAATAATAAATAATTTCTTTTTTTTTTCGTTTATACCATTAGGATATGTTTTATTAAAGGAATACAAAACATTATTCCAATTAGAACTCAATTCTAAACTAATCTGCTACATACATCATCTATCACTTTTATTTAATTCATATAATCATCGATTATGAATAAATGTCGGTCTCAATAATTTCTTAATATTTCTGTTTATATTCAGGTTTTTATATGAAATTTTTTTTTCCGAAACAATGAACATATAATTCTCTACACAATTGCAAAAAATAGAATTTTTTAGAAGTAGAACCAAAAAATTTCGAGACGTGACACGTTAAAAGCATAAAGCACCAATCTTTTTCGAAGCATTTTTTTTTTCTTAAAAATAAAAAATTGTTTAAAAGCTTCGAATTAATAATATCGATGCAATCTTGAGTATTCTTTCTATATCGTGCATATAAGGGAATATCTTTCACTCTGCATTTGACATAGTTGCATTTTTCATGTGAAGTTAGTCAATATGAAATGTTTGTCATTCATTTAGAATTTTATACTGAAAAATCTTAATTAGCTTAGGTTTGTTAATGCTTTTGAGACAAATATGAAAGTGAATTGAAAAGAGAATTTTAATCATAAATTATAGATTTTTTTTGTTCTAAAATAGTTTCTTTTTAAAATTTCGATTATTCGAAAAAGAAGAAGCCTTTAAAGGATCATAAAATGAGTAATGTATTTTTATTTTATTGGTATAATACAACATGAGAATACAACACATTAAAATTCATATTTAACACTTGAAAGTTGTTAATCTTTCATTTTTGTGGTATCGCTTCTGAAAATTTTGCTTCTACCTCTCTATAATGCAATTGGCTGTACATTTTCAAAGAATTTTTTAGTTGTGTGCTTTATACAGTCGACTAGCGTAATTAGCTATTATTTTTTATTCATAATTAATGGTTTATATTTGCCTTGAATATATCTTTTGCTTATTTTCATCATTGATATTACTGGCATTTACGTTATACACGGAATTACACATGTTTAATGGCAAATATTAAAGTATTATTTATTGAAATTATTTCAAAAATTTATTAGAGAAAATTTATAATCATTATCGAAGAAAACAGCTTCAATAATCTAGAAATATCATAAATAGAATTTGTGGTAGGTTATTCTTCCATTCGACATAAATTTCTAATGATTTTCTACTGAATTTTGTTTTCGACAACATGATTCTAATTCTGACATATTCCGTTCCAAATATGCAAAACTATATCACAAACTCATTCTTTGAATGCTATTTTAATCTTAAACAGGTCTCGACAACATAGTTTTAAATATCTATTATCGTATTTTCTCACATATATAATGAAGATAAAGAATCCTAAACATTATTATCTTTGTATGATGGAGTCTATGACATGATTTCGTAGAAAGTTGAATAGAGAATATGTTGAATAAAATCTATTTCTATAAAACTATAGAAAAATAACAGAGTGAAAACTGTTATATAGATCATGTGTACATTTGAGCAACATGAAATATTTTGAAATTTTTTGTAAAAAATTTAACCTTGTTTGGACATTGAAAATTTTGTTGTCAAGAAATTGTACAATGAAAACAAACAATATAAAAAAACAACGACACTTATTTTAACATCAGTTTTGTGCAAACAGTGAGATACTTCTCTGCTTAGATTTGGATATGGCTTCTTCAATGTAAAACTGTTTTTTTTTAATCTTTTTTTTTTTTTTTTTTTTTTTATTGATATGTAAAGAAAAAATGTTGAGTACAATACAAAATAATTTTCCATCAATACAGCGATATGATGATCGTCATATTTTCAAACTATCATCGATGTTCAATACAGATTACGTTTATTTAATTTTTATTAAATACCTCCAAATAACGTCTCGTCATAATATCTTAACTACTTCTTTATGATATTTCTTGAGAACTAAGTAGAAGGATGATTAAGAAATATGTCCCAGAATAGATAGAATAAAAGAAAAGAGTTTCCCTGTGATTAACAATAACAGATAAATTATGTTTCCCATATGAATTTCATACATAAAAGATTCTTTTCTCGATTTTTATTAGAATGTTGTGGATTATATTAAATGAATATTTATTAAATAAAATAAAAGAGCAAATATTCGTTCCAGTCATTTTGAACCATTTTCTAAAAATAATAAAAGAAAAAGAAAAATTCGATTGATTTCGAGAAAGTGAAAAAATATAACATACTATAACGATAATAATGATGATTAAATGTTGACAAACAATGACGATGTTGTTTTGAATGAGATAGTAATGGAGAATGATAATGATTGAATGATAAATCAATATTATTACTATGTCGATCATGACTAAATTGAATTGATCTGTTATTATTTTTCTTAATATGAAACCAATGATTATCTATCGTTTTTCGTTTATTTTTTTTTCTTAAAGTTTCTTTTTTAATTATTTGATTTTGATGACGATAATACATAACAAGATCACGAGCATAACGAAAAGTCAATTCAGCATATTCGACATCATCAAATACTATTAGACAATTGATTTAAAAAAATGTTTTTTTTTTTTTTTGTAAAATAAAATTCTTATACCATCAGCTACTTCAGGTAAATCAAAATTAGCTAAAAGAAAAAAAAAATCATACGTTTTTTTACATTCGATATGCATATTATATATATATATATATATCATATTAACCCTTCATTTGATTAACAAATGAATCCGGAATAAATTTGTCTTGTTCAATTTGTTGTTTAAATCTTCGTCGTTGATATTCATTATCATCGGGAATAACAACAACAGCTCGTCGATAAAATCCATCAAATAAAGACATTTTACGACGACGATTATTTCCATAAACATTTGTCTAAATTTTAACATTAAAATAAATTTAACAATATAAATCACATTAAATAAAATCAAACTTGATCAATAATAATATTTCGTTTTCGACATGCAGCTATATCAAACATTATTCTAAGACATTGCATCGCTCGATCCATCATATCATGAGAACCTTCATAATTATCAATCTATAGAAACAAATAGAATTTTTAAGCTCTTTTTTTTTTTTTCTTGTTTGTTTGATATTTACTTTCATTTGATAAATTATATTATTTGTACTGAGAACAACATATTTTTTATCTATATTAATGGCACAATGTCGTTCAACCCAAAATGATTTTCCAGCTCCTGGTAAACCTACCATCATAATGATCTATGTGAAAAATTGTTCAACTAAAGAGATAAATGAAAGATGAAATGAGTATCTACTTCGCATTCTTCTTTGCTCGATGGACCTAATGTACCACGAATTCGATCATCTTCATAATAATCATTAATAAAACGAAAACCTGATTGAAGAGAATATTTCTGAAAAATATATTTTTTTTTTTTTGAATTTTGGTAATTAAAATATAACAATTTCAAACTGTATTTAATTGACCAAAATTAACTTGAAATGAAACATTTTTAACAAATATATGAGGAAAAAGTGGACGTGAATGAAAATCTTCATAATTAATACAATATGCTAATTCGAAATTCAAATTATTTTTAGCAAAAAATAATAAAACATTGCCAGGTTCACTTTCAAAATCCTTTTATAAACAACAAAAATTATTTAAAAGTAAGAAAAATGAATTAATTTAAAATGATTCACTGCATAACATGTGATTATATCGCCAATTGAATATCGTTCGCCATACCATCCAAATTGATTTCTCGTCCAGATTTTTCCTGTTCCTTCATACCCATAAGATAATGATCCACTACCTGTTAACAGTACAAATAAAAAACTAATGACTGGAACAGTTATAGTACAAATACATTTTACTTAACTATTCTAGTTTAAAAGTATGCGTGTATTTAGTACAATGTACTTATGGATGTCAGTATTCTCATGATCGACGAAGTTAGAACACTAGTACCTCTCTTGTTTTGGGTGACCAGTGGCAAGTCACGCCATCACTCAGTACGTCGTATTATCAATAATATACGGTGTCAATGAATTAGCTACGTACTCTCCACTATCCTTCCCGGAGCAAGAGAGGTGTTAGGACACTGAATAGTTTCGTCGTTATCTACTCTTCTGTTGATTTTTATTCTTGATCGTACAGCACCACCTATTCATATCCAATCAAAACAAGATGAATATTAGTATTCTGTCTACGCTGCTTACTCCTCGTCAGTCACACCCGGACTGATATTGGCATCAAGAAGAACAAGTACTTATTTCGTAATTTAGTTTTTTTTCTATACATGAATTAATATTTTTTATAAATGATTTATTTCATGTTTCTCATATGTACCATTTATTCTTATCAAGTATTTTTTTGTTGATTATCTGTTAAGTTCAAACTCTGATTTCTTCTTCTAGAAAAGTAATTTTTTTTTTCAACTGATGATTTTTCTCACACTAATAAAAATTTTAACTCTTCGTTAAAATCTCTTCTATTGTTCATGATTCAATAGTGTAATAAAAATTTATGCAGAACTATGTTATAAATATATAAATAAGGAATACAATTTTGAAACAACAAAATATTATCTCATATATGATAAAATGTGACACAAATACTTAATCCATAGAATTTATATATTTTCGTTGATATCTTGAATGATTTTTGGAAAAAAATTTCACATTTTTTATTTTTTATGACTTTAAACCTGTTTAAGGATTCTTAAAATATGTTTAATAGATAGAAAACAGTTTGAACCGTATATAAAGAATAAAAGCACGAATAAGAAAAAATCTAAAAGTATTGATTCAGCAAAAAGAACATCCTATTCAGTACATTTTTACTTAATGCAAGTACGAAGTGCAAATGATCTGAAGTAAAAATTTATGAAAAGTATTAAGTATTGAACTAAATATCCAATCATTGGAAAAAGAAATCTAAATTAAAAAGTAAGTTCATAGAAAAGAAAAGCAATACCGAGAGATAGTTTACTCTCATTGGTTGACCAACCAACTCGAATCCCAAATGGAATTTCATTATGTAATAAATCAGAAGAACGCAAATAATGAAGAATCTCAAGAAAAAACAAACCCGAATTATTTCACTCAAGTTATGATTGAAATAAATACTTTTATTTGAAAAGCCACACGTCCTTGGTTAATTCCATATGTTGCTCGTATTCCTGACCATAACGAACATAATCCATTGTTAATCATTGGTTCACCACGAAGACAATCATGTTTAACAATCATTGTTAAATCACAGTTATAAACATCTAATATAACATCGTTACGCGACGAATGCCAATCATTATCTTCATAATTTAATCGTAGATTTTCAGTGCTGAATGAATTAACATACTATTACCGAAGAAAGAAAAGAGAAATACTTACTTGACAGACATTTTTTTATAATATTTTATTCAATGAAAGATATCAATTCTGAGCGCCAACACAACAAAAAAAATATTTTCATATAATAATGGTTTTTTATTTTTGAAATAATATTGCCGAATTTCAATAACTTCTAAGTGTTTCAATAGAAAATTGATTATGAAACTTTCTCCTTATCAATTTATTTATTTGTAAGCTAAACAAACTACAGATAAAAAACAGTTAATAGTTATTTATTAATAATAATTTTTTCAATCATGCTTTGAAGTTTTATAGATTATAATTTTTATCGAATAGTCGAATATGCTTATATTCAATATTTTTTAAACTATCTTTTTTTCTCAATTAATCGATTTTGTCTTTATTCAAATGAGATTGTTTCTCTTTTTTTATTAAGTTAGTTTTATATTGATGACTATTGAATAATCCAAATCATCTCATTTTTTTATGCTTTATGTGTGAACATCGGAAGTTTGTAAAAAATAAAACTGAGAACTGCATTGACATCAGAGTTTTTCAATTTCTCTTACTAAAAATCGAAAACTGTTTGCTCATGTGACTGTGGAACTGTTCAAGTGTTGCATAATCTTAACTCAAATAGATCAATCTACGTTTACACAAATGAATAAACGACGTGTATCTCTTACAGTTGGATGGAAAGAGAAGTTAAAAATAGCTAAAAGTATTATTAGAGCCCTGAAACAAATCTAGCGTCATGAATAAATAAGTTCTTCAGAAAAAGCATGGTTCGATACTCCGATGTTCACTTTCGTAATGACTATAACTTTGAGCCATGCCATTATTAAAAGAGAAGTTTTTTTTGACATAAAAGATAATTTTTTGTCTAAAAGAGGATATGGATGTAATTCTTCAGTTCCCCTATCCTCACACTTGATTCCTGATATTTCTTTGAATCACCGGCCTCTAAATGCGTGCAGACGCATGTTGTCTTGTGACCAACATGTGGATATGTTTCATATCAAGATCGTGATTGTCCGCAATTTCAAAGAACTTTGATTAAGGCATCTGTGAACATTTCTATTCTAATAAATGAATTCAAACATGATATTATTTGAAACTAATTTTAAAAGAACATCACAGAGGTTAATTAGATGGAACCATACTCATTGAACCCATTAAGTCCTAAATGAAATATTCTCGAATGAGTAGAACAAGGTCATCATATTAAATTATTTTGGATATAGAAACACGTATAAAACAAATATTTCGTGCGCGTGCAAGTAATTTATACTCAACAGAAGATTTTATGTGAAGTTGATAACATATGAATGCAAAGTTTAGGAAATATTCGAGATAATTTTAGAATCTTCTTCGCAAACAGCTATATACCTTACTTTATAGGTAGTACGAGAAAAATCTAGAACATTCTTTATTTACACTTCTTTTTAGAGTATTTAAACATATTTTAGAACATTTTCTTTGAAGAGGTTCACGTTTTTATTACGTCAAAATCGAGTATACTGTTGACAAGGATTTAAGATTTTCGTAGAACATTCTAGAAAGCCTTTACAAACAACTCCGCATAGGCGTATCTACCCATTAGCTGGTTAATTCTCGAAAGCTCCATTCCAAGAGATTAGGTAGCAATTTTTATAAACTACGATATGCAAAACTAATTATAAAACATATGTAGCATTTTCGATATTATGGAACTCGAAGGATTAAAGCTCGCATTATGTTTACATGCGTTTAAAAAAAACTTCCCCCGATCATATACACGTGTTGTTTTAGCAGCTAATGTTCTCATTGCTGTTGAGATGATTAGTTCTAGTATACGTCATTGATTAGAATATATATATGTAAATATTTTGCAAAGATATAAACGGATTCGAAATTCAAGAGAAGCATGTGTGTAGACGCAGTTCAGATGCAAGATTTAATGCGTCTAGGTGAGGTTTTATTTTGAAAGATATCGGAACACGATTAAATAAACTTTTGAATCGTGTCCGAATGCTCTTAGAACTCATAATGTATCTCAACATGTCTACTTTGCGTTTCATATGCATACGTGAATAACGTTGAACATATTGAATTGTCAAAATTTTGAAACATATATGACCTTTAAATGAAGACGCTTTCAATATATACTTAAATAACGAAGTCAAAAATAAGTTTTAGTAAAATTTGCGTCAGTGAGCACAATGAGAAGAATTTCTCATTCATTCTCTTCCATATATCTAGCAGATCCACACCTATTTACGGCCACATATTTCACTCATACTTAGCGGGACAAAAGCAAGACTTTCGTACTTCGAAGTGCGAAAGTCTTGCTTATTCGCCCTTGCTCACAGCTCCCTCCGTCCTTACTCACTCCCATGCTCATCGTTAAGAATTGCTCGTAGGCATTAGACTTTGAGTGTGTGCTTCAGAATTCATTTCAAGTGTTCCTTACTAATAACTGTCATTTTCATACTGTATTTGATTAGTTTCTCAATATTACTGGTAATCTTTATAATGAATCTGAAATTTATTGACTTTTTTCTTTTCGATGAACCTTTAATCAGACACGATCAGTTTTTTGGCTTATCGTCGACATCTTGCTATTCTTTTTCCTTCCAGATTGGATGAGGTTTTCATTTAGTTTCATTTTCTCGAGAGAATGTTGAAATAAAACTATGATTTCTGGTACCATATATCTATCGAGTCCAGGATACAACTTTCATGTTTTCATGATTTTTTCGGTCGATTCCTACAGAAAGATCAGCGGAACTGACCAGAACTATGCCAAAAATATATAGTTTTCGGATAAATTCAGAGGCTGAAATTAGCAATCTTTTTCGCGTAGTTACCATATTTATAGTTGTATAATACTACCAAGTAGTCGATGTTTTCTTTTGACGAAATTATTTCTTTCGATAATATTTTTCGAGATTTTTTTTCATAATGCTAACACATGAGAATCTCAATGTTTCTAGTTTTTAGTGTACTCAAAAAGTGAGTACACTACTGAAATCGGTCTGTGTGTCCGTCCGGCCGTTTACACGATAACCTTCGAAAGGAGAGTCAGATTGCGATGAAATTTTCTACACAGCTTAGTCTTGACAATATCTCGGTCGAGTTCGAAGATGAGAAGGATCCGCCAAGAAATGGCTGAGTTATCGAAAAA